TTTTTTTTTTTTTTTTTGTTCTTCAATGAATTTGGATGCCTTGAGTTTTGTTTTTTTTTTTATTTCTGCTTTTAGCCAATTGTCTGTCAACTCCACTGCAACAATGGGCGTTACCATGTCTTTGAGAGATGGCTCGATTAATCTTTCAAACACCTGGACCCGTCAACTCTCAGAGACAACTAATGCAAATGTGAGGTTTTTGTTATTGCCAGAATTTGTTCTTTCCTTCATACGTGAAGAATTTTGTACAGTTGGATAATTGGGTGCCACAGTGTTCTTGTATGATTTATGTAGTGTCTCATCTGCTTCTGTATTCTAATGATTTGCTATTTTGCATCTTACAGATACAGCTCTCTTTAGGTCCAGAGTCATCTATAGGTGTCGGTTGGAGAAAGAAAGAGCAAAAGATGTCTGCTTCCGGAGAGATTAAGGTAGCTTTTCTTGGAATGCGTATTTCTTTTTTATAGAGAAGTTGCAAACTTATTTGTATTTTACTTCCGATGGTTCAAATTTTTTGGCTTCCACCTATTTAGCTTAAGATTTTTTAGCAAATATTTCTCTTTGGCATTATTTGATCAAAATCAGTCCACCTCTATGATTATACATGGCGTGATTTCGTAAATACTGATTGTTACAGTTTATAACTCTTAATTTTTTGAAAGAAAAATATTTTAAAACAAATTTTATTTTTTAAAATTAATTTAAAGTTAGTACCTGTTATGTTAAATCTCTGTGGATGTCTTACCACTACTTTGCAATCCTTTTTTATGTTAACAAAGTTCTCGTTTGATGTTTTCCTTTTTTTTATTGTATCTACTCTCTTTTGTAGTTTGGCACCAGTTCATTTGGCGGAAATGCTCAGTATACTCATTTCTTTTCCTCTAAATCACATGGACGGATTGCAGGCACAGTTGGAAGGTTTCTTTCTTGTCTTCTGTTTCTCGAAAAAAATTGTCTTGTAATTATTTGAAACTTATCATTGCTAACTATAGTATCCATAAATAGTCATATATTGAAATTATATTTAAAATTCTGGAGGTGTGTTTTAGCTTTTTGAATAAAGGAAGTGGCATGCACAAGTGTAGCAGCCTATATATTTTCAAACGAATAGTATATCATCTCAAAATAACTGTTTGCCGTGTTCATGAGACACACATTATTTGTGAATTAAGATATAAGTTCTCAAATGTTATGCTCATATTTTTTTCTTTTCATGGGGTGGTTGGGGGTTGGTACGGGGGATAACCACATTGAATCTCAGATTTTGAATGCTTCAAGTTGTTACTGAAAGAATGAAAGGCTTTTTTTTTTTTTTTCATTTTTATGTAGTAATGTAGTGAAAAGGATCCATGCCAGGTGCTTATTGGATATATGCTAACAAATATTGCAGCCTTCAGAATTTCAAAAACTATTCAAATGGTTGTGCTGACAGATCAAACTCTGACATGCTTAATAATTGAATACTTTTCAGTAGTTCACTTGCAATTGAAATTGGAGGTGGAAGAAAGATATCTAAATTCAGCACTGTACGGATGTTATATTCGATAGGGATCCAGGTACGCATCCTAAATATGGTGTACAACTTTTTTTTTGGTAACATTTGTGTTGTGGCTCACACCCACCTTTTCATTTTCAGGGACTTACTTGGAAATTTGAGTTGCATCGTGCAGGGCAAAAATTGGTTATTCCTGTAAGTACATTCTTGAACATGTATGTATGCTGACTCAAACATGTCTTGATATTGATTTGTTCTTTTGTTGGTATGAATCTGATAGCCCGAGATCGATTCTAATGTAACTAGTCTAATGTCACTTCTCATATTTATTTTAAAACTTGCATGCTCAAATATATACACTAAACATTTATTACAAATAGTTTTGATCTTTTATGCCTAAAGCAAATCATATATTCATCTACACCAATTGTCATGACTAGCCTTTCCAGTGCAACCAGTTTACCTTATAAAATATTGGGTATTTCTGATATTCTACAGTAGAGTTGTTTCCCTTTTTTTCTCAGATCAATATTTGTACTTACACTGTTAACACAAGTGATGTCATAGATCCCTAAGTATCATGTGAACTATGTGATCTGTATCTTAATTTATCTTATTATCATTCTGAATCATTTCCTTAATTCTAATATACATGTTGCGTTTGCTTGCAGATATTGTTGTCTAGTTATCTGGATCCAGTTTTTGCTACCGGAGCTTTCGTCATTCCCGTATCACTTTATTTTGCTGCCAAGGTTTGATTATCAAACTGATAAATGGTTACTTAGGGTGTGATTGGATATGGATTTGATTGGTTTTTTTTTTTTTGTTAACCATAGTTAATTTTGAAAAGGGTGCTATGATTAGTTAGTGGAAATTTAAGTTTAAACTAAAATAATATTTAAAATAAAATAATTAAAGTTGATTTGTTGTAAAATGTAGTAGAAAAATGATTGGAAGTGATGGTTAGTTAAAATTATGTGAGTGGATGAATAGTGAACTAAAGTTGGTGTGATATGTAAGAATGATTGGTTGATATTATTTAATTATGTTGATGTGAATGCATGTTAAACAGAATCTTTGAATCCTATGTAAACTGGTGTGAATTAATATCGATTGACTTGCTTGCTAGTTGTTTTGGTCCTTTTACTTGGTATATACATTATGACCTGAGCTTTTGATGCTCGTTGATTCCATTGTCTGTACTTGCAGAACTTCATTTTTAAACCGTATTACCTTAAACGAGAAAAGCAAAAGGCTTTAGAGAACATTGAAAAAACTCAAGACCAGGTACGTTTTAATGGTCTCGTGCATTCGTTAATATTTATGGTTTAGATTCCATTTTCTCTCAATATAAAGGAATCTGTGATGGTAAATACAATAAAACCTCTTTCGAACCACCAAAAGAAAGTAAAAAAATAGGGAAAATGACTTAGGCAAAAGAAATATCACTCACAATTTACTGAAAATTTTGCTGAGAAATCATGTTTATGTTTTACATTATACTTTTCCAATTTTAGTTATTTTCGGATATCTTTATTATGGTGTCCACAGGTTCAAGAGTCGAGGGCTGCAGCCAAAAAAGCTCAACAGTTATTGAAAAATGTTGCTAACAGGAAACAAAATAAGCAACTCGAAAAGGGTGGATTGGTTATTGTCAAGGCAATTTACGGGAACAGTAAATCTATTTCGAACAGAGAAAATTCTGAAGAAACTGAAGATGAAGAGGCATCACAGATCTTAGATGTCACGATTCCTCTTAACTTCCTCGTTAATGATTCTGGGCAACTCAAGGTTTTGTTTACTATGCATTCGTTTTTTTGTGCAAATCTCGTGTTCGTGAAGAAATTGAGAATTATTTGCAGTTAACTCCTTTCAGCATGTTTATTTGCAGTTAACTCCTTTCAGCATGTTTATTTGCAGCTACATGAAGGTGTGAAGAAATCGGGAATTATGGGCTTTTGCGATCCTTGTCCGGGAGAAACTAAGCAACTGCACGTGGAATATACATACGGTTCATCCAGATATGAGGTACAAGCCAGCTAAGCCACTATTCTTCCGCATTTTTTTTTTCTCGAATTTAAGGTTAATGTCGTAAAATCGACTATACTTTCGATACAGATAACAGTTGGTGATTATGATGAGCTGCAAATACCCCAGGAGAGGCACAAAATCTAAAATTCCCGGTGAGGATAATATGCTGAAAAGAATGAGAATCTCTTTCGATATATCTTTTTTCGAGAAAATTGAACAGTTGAAAAGACTTTTGAAAGTATATTGTAGCACAGAGGATAATGACTTTCTGACCCTTTCCATTTGCTGGTTCCATTTTTTTGCCCCCCTTTTCTTGCAAAATTTTGTTTGGTAATGTTGTTGTTACCTTTTATTCGTCGACAAACGTTGAAATGGGGTGACTCGTCACGACTGTATTTTTTTCGTATTCTTTTTCTCCGTACGCGCGATGGTCTTGCAGGCTTTCTCTATTATAATTGTTTCATTTTTATTTTTAGTTTTAATTTTTTTTCATGTTTTTCCACTTTGTTGGTTTAAGGTTAAGGAAAAACCATCACGAAGTATTACAAAACAAGAACTGAACAGTATTTTACTCCAAGATATACTTTGTTTATTTGTTCACATGGTATGAAAGGCATTCATTTGTAAGATTTATTAGCATTATCTAGTAAATGCTTATTTGACGTAAAAATTGATACAAAACATGACATAAGAGATGTGTAATTAAAAAGAAATTCGTTTTGAAGGTGGTGTTGTGTGTAAAAATAACGAGGTTGTCACGTTTATAAGTGATGTGTGTTCATAGGAATATTAATGTAAAGATGATGTGTTGCGCATGGTCACTTACTAGTGCATTCGGCTGCCGCCGACTCGTTAATAAGTAACTTTACTAGTACATTCGGCATCAACCGATCTTGTTAGTAGAAAACTGAACTGCTTACTTACTGATGATTACCCGACTTATTGACTTTTATTTCAAGCCTCCAGGTAAGTTCTCACAAGCATACTTGGCCCAACGGACTGCAATCATGCATATCAAAACTATACTACCACATGTTTGTAAAGAATAAATTATAGTATGCATCAATATGTAAGTAGTTTAGATAATTCTTCTTATACATAATGATGAAGACGAGACCGCCATTGCATTTCTGAATAAATACGACCGGCTCAGGATTTAATTGATTTATCTCCTATTAGTATTATTATTATTATTGTTTATTTCCTTTAGTC